TGTAAAACTGAATATAAAAAATATGTTGATAGATAGACATTATTTGAGGAAATAACAAATCAGTATTAATTTTAAAAAATAATTAATTATAGATTCATGTTAAATTTTATATATACTTTAATAATTAAAATCATAAATTTATAATTGCTTTGGGATAGTAACTGTGTGGGTGATTTTCCGACCACACTGCCCGCTTAGTAACCAGCTGGAGAGCACTGGCAGAATAGATGGCCCCTGTCTTACCTGTAACAGAAATATAAGAATCCCGCGGTGGTTTCGACCACCCGGGGGCACTCCGACGATCAAGTCAGTATATCTCTCAAAGATAAATCAAGTACTAAACTCACAAGCTTGAGTATCAAAAGCATACCTTAGACCCATGGGGGTGCCTCTCTTTTATAGTCAATACAATCCCAGTCCCAATAGGAGCCTGGCCCTAATGGACTTAGGATTACTGCTAATCTGGGACTCCCAATGGAGTTAGGACAAAACTTTCTAAGAGTCTTATCTTTACCCAAACTAGAGTCTTCTCCCAATCTAGGACTCTTGTCCATATCCAGGTTGAGTTCCCTCTTCATTCTAGGACTCTCATCCCTTATCTGCTTATCTTGAATTCCGATATCTTCGGAGGTAACCTCGGCCTAGCCGAGATGACCTCGGCACAACGACCAAGACACGTGGCACGTTGGCTGACACGTCGGCGTCACCTTGCCACGTGTTGGTACTCAGAAAATATATCCCCACAGTAACAGTGATTTGTGAATTCCTCATATGATACTAAATTACTCATATGATTTTTTAGGTAGACCCTGTACTAATAAATCTTATAAAATTATGTTTATGATGCCTTTAATACATGTGAATATGTTATCTTTAGTATTACTGAGACAGAATGTGCATTTACATAAGGGGAAATGACCAATCAGTATGTAGCTGAAATTTTTTTTTCTGGAATAATAATAAAATTTTTAAGTATTAATTATTAAAGTCAACTACTTTTTCATGAATATATAATTAAATTTTAGAATTATACCTGATTCATACATAAGCGGTAATAATTTTTTTTCAATTTAGACAACACGATTACGTATGCATCATGTAATCAATCGGATTTATAAAATAATTATTGCTATAGTAGAGGATATAACAAATTTAATACAAAAATGCTTGAATCTATTAATTTTTGTGACTCTCGTGATCCCTAATTGATTGGTGGTCACTTATTATTTTTATTTTCATTTTTTTTGTCTCTCCTCCCTCTATGTCTGTAGCGGGGTTAAATTTAATAACATAAATCACATGTAAAACTGAATATAAAAAAGGAAAATGGTTGGGACCCCCACAAAGGAGGACCCCAACCACACCCATTGATGTATTAACTATTGATATATTTGAATTTTTTTTTTCTATATCTGACAGTGACATGAATGATTCAGATCATTTTGAAGTTGTGTGGATTGTGTTTTGTGGGGGTCTCTATCATTCATGTATAAAAAATATGTTGATGGATATGATTTGAGAAAAAAACAAATCAGTATTAATTTAAAAAAATAATTAATTACACATTCATGATTTAATAATTAAAATTATAAATTTATAATTACTTTAAGATAGTAACACTGATTTGTAAATTCTTTATATGATTTTTTAGGTAGACCCTGAACTAAGAAATCTTATAAAATTATGTTTATGATGCCTTTAATACATGTGAATATGTTATCTTTAGTATTACTAAGACAGAATGTGCATTTAGATAAGGAGAAATGACCAATCAGTATGTAGCTGAATTTTTTTTTTCTGGAATAATGATAAAATTTTTAAGTATTAATTATTAAAGTCAACAACTTTTTCATGAACATAAACAGTAATAATTTTTTTCCAATTTAGACAACACGATTACGTATGCCATCATGTAATCAATCGGATTTATAAAATAATTATTGCAGTAGCGGAGGATATAACAAATTTAATACAAAAATACACTACAAGAAAAAACACTTTCCGTGACCAATATTTTGGTTGTAAAAAGTATCATATTTGGTCGTTAAAACCTTTTCGTGACCAAAATATGTTGGTCGCGAGTTGGCCGCTAAAGCCTCATCATAGATAGTTTTCTGCGACCAAAAAAGCCTTTGGTCGCTAAAAGTGACCATTTGCGACTAACTTTTTTGGTCGCCAAAAGTCAGCGTCTTGACCCAAAAAAAATAATTCTTTTGTACTTCCTAGGACTTGAACTCCTGACCAAGGAGTCACCATGCACCCAATCCACTCTGCCAATAACATACTTCTTGTTCATATTTGGCAAAGGGTAATCTTTCGCGACAAAAAAAGCCTCTGGTCGCCAATAGTATACTTTCCGCGACCAACTTTTTTTTTTTGGTCGCCAAAGGGTAATCTTTCGCGACAAAAAAAGCCTCTGGTCGCCAATAGTATACTTTCCGCGACCAACTTTTTTTTTTTGGTCGCCAAAGGGTAATCTTTCGCGACAAAAAAAGCCTCTGGTCGCCAATAGTATACTTTCCGCGACCAACTTTTTTTTTTGGTCGCCAAAAGGTGATCTTCCGAGACCAAAAAAGCCTTTGGTCGCCAATAGTATACTTTCCGCGATCAACTTTTTTTTTTTGGTCGCCAAAAGGTGATTTTCCGCGATCAAAAAATTGTGGTAGCCAAAAGTTAAATTTTAGTCGCAGAAAGTGGACTATTTGCGACCAAAAAAAATAGGTGGTCGCCAAAAGTGTTTTTTCTTGTAGTGATGCTTGAATCTCTTAATTTTTGTGACTCTCGTGATCCCTAATTGATTGGTGATCACTCATTATTTTTATTTTCATTTCTGTCGTCTTTTTTCTCTCTCTCTCTCACAAATGTTTAGGGGTCGTGGAGGTCTGTAGCGGGGTTAAATTTAATAACATAAATCACATGTAAAGCTGAATATAAAAAAGGAAAATGGTTGGGACCCCCACAAAGGAGGACCCCAACCACCCCTACTAATGTATTGACCATTGATATGTTTGAATTTGTTTTTTTTTATATCTGACAGTGACATGGATGATTCAGATCATTTTGAAGTTATGGGGATTGTGTTTTGTGGGGGTCTCTATCATTCATGTATAAAAAATATGTTGATAGATATGATTTGAGGAAATAACAAATCAGTATTAATTTTAAAAAATAATTAATTACACATTCATGACTTAATAATTAAAATTATAAATTTATAATTACTTTAATATAGTAACACTGATTTGTAAATTCTTTATATGATTTTTTAGTTAGACCCTGTACTAATAAATCTTAGGGCAAATTACATATAACCCCTCGAGGTTTAGCAAAATTATAGATACCCCCTGAGGTTTGAGAAATTACAGATACCCCCCTGAAGGCACTATTTGCATAACAAATTAGGAGGCAACACTACTAAAAAAACCACTTTTTGTGACCGCTATAAACTGTCGCAAATAATAAAAAACAGTCGCAAAAGACTTTTTGCGACGGCCCATGCGACGGCAAATGGGGGTCGCGAATATGGGGGTGGCAAATACTTTTTACGACGGCAAAACAACGGTCGCAAATTATTTGCGACCACCTAAACTACTTATGGCGACCGCTATTTTGCCGTCACAAAAAAAAAAAGAAAAACACTAACATGATCTTTGGCGACCATCTTGTTACCGTCGCAAAAAATTAAAAATAAAAATAAAAATAAATAAATGAAAGTGTTGATTAGTCTTTGAAGTTTTTTGTGTTGAGAATCACATGAACTGGGAAGTCAAGTTCAAATAGTTTATTAGATTATTGTTGCTACGCCTTTACAAAGTGATCCTATTTTATTCCGAGAAGTGTGCATTGTGTACTTGTGGTTCCATGTGGTTAATGCAAGTTTTTCAGAAAATAAAAAATAATGAAAGAAATGCTGGACACTTTGGATTGTGTTGGGTAGTATTTAAGATGGGTTGTCAAATGGTCCAAAATGATTGAATTTATTTTTGAATCATTGACATGTCCATGGGGTATTTAACATGTGTCTAGGAGTCTCTGAAATGTTGGTGTTTTGTGTGTCTTAGTTTTCACATAATGAACAGTTAGATTTAGTAAAACGGAAAAAAGAGAGAAAAGGGAGGAAAAGAAAGACAAACGTTGTCATGCGACAATGAGAAGAGAGTAAAAAATTAAGGTTCTCTCTCATCTACTAACCTTTATATTAATCAAGTCATAAGTACAAAAATGCCCTTGGGATAAAATAACATAAGACTTAACTGAATTTATCCAAGAAGTGATTGGTCACCTGTTTGGAAGTTCAGCGATCCTTGGGTAGTGGGCATCAGTGGGTTGAATCACTGGAAAATATACTCTCAAATTGGGCCTCCATCGTTTGCAAATGTACACAACAAAGCCAAAGGACTATTCACTTTTCTTAAATCCTTTTATGGTTGAAAGAATTCTATCAAATGATATTAAATTTCTATTTTTTTTATCAGTGACAATTATTTTGTTATATAAAAATTAGCGAAAAAAGGAAAAAAACAATTCTAAAGGGAGTAAGAACTTTCATTAAACTGGATTAGGGTTTTGGACATGGAAATGCAATACTTTCACATTCTTCAGAGTGTGTGTAGGGGTAGGCTTATATAGATGACTTGGGTGGAGTACGCAGTGGTAGTTCTCATTGCAAAAGTTGCTCTCTTTTAATGGAAGATGAATAATGAAAATCATTATGCTCAAAATGCACACTATTCATTTACTCGTAAGAATTTGTTGTCGAATCTACAATGCACATTACGCATGTAATGTTTTTGGAATTAGGCGTTCCATATTTTGGGAAGCATTTTTCAAAATGCTTGATCTGTGTGAAACTGGCACTTTTTGGTGACAGCACATATTGAGATTAGTAATAGATGGGATGTATTACATGCATCTTACTTGGCTTCTTACATTTGCTTGTACCTGAGTTTTCAGAATTTGCTTTATAATTCTCATTAGTTAGGGGTGATAGCTTGATTCGATGGTTAATCACGAGGTCTGTTTCAGGGGATGCCCTCATTGCATTGAAGGATGCGCTGAATGCTTCAACTGATCAGCTTAAAAATTGGAATCAAAATCAAGTGAATCCATGCACTTGGACCAAAGTTACCTGTGACTCCAACTATAATGTCACTCTTGTGTAAGTAATGCTCTGATTAATTTTTGATTTTCTTCTGACAATGATATGCATGATACTAGAATGTTTTCAGCATTTCAGTGAGGTTATGGCTTATGAATCAATTCTTCACTTTTTAGTTTCCTATCTTCAGACCTTAAATCTGATGTTTGATTATTATATTTTTTGTTTGCAGATCATTGTCCTCCATGGGGTTTTCTGGATCCTTGTCCCCTAAAATAGGAGCTCTGAATACCCTTCAAACACTGTATGTTTAGAGAACTACAGGCTGGCTACAATTAATATTCCTGAAGCTATTTGTGTTAACTTTTTGCATTGGAATATTGTTCCTGGGAGTTGAAGATTTTATATATAAGTTTATAGAACTTAAAAGCATGGACACATGATATTACACAGACACAACACAAGCAAGCCGACATGGCAATTTTCAAAACCTATAGGACACGACACATGGGGAATATGCACAAAATATATGATTTTATATATTTATTTTATGTCATATATATGAATATTTCATTCAAAGTTAATAAAAATATACAACATAATACGAATTTGTAAAGTGTAAAGAAGGATTTATTACTAGGAACAGAACTATGGTGATGCTTTCCTAACTAGCAAGCTTCACATTCGAGCTTAGACACATGACTCAAACAACAAACTGCTAACTTAAGCTTAGCCAAAGACGGATGACCTAGGCGAAAATGTCAATAAGTGGAGAGATAGTAGTGCTTAATGCAATGGATGGAGGGAGAGGAGAGCGATCAGGATCCAGGTAGTATAAGTTGCCCTTCTCATGCCCCGAGCTAATCATCTTCTTGGTTGTGAGGTCCTGCATGACACAAGAGGTAGGAGAAAAGGTTATGGAACAATTTAAAACCTTAGTCAGCTGATTAACAGCAAGTAAATTGAAAGGAAAATTAGGAACATAAGATAGAGATGTGGTGGAATGAAGAGTACCCTTCGCAGTAACAGGCCGTGAGGACCCATCGGTGAGAACAACATGACGAGTAACAAGATGTAATGTAGTGAAAAGGGATGAATTACCAGACTTGTGAGAACTAGCTCCAGAATCTATGAGCCAGGGTTGAGTAAACTTGCTAGCCATTGTGGTAGTGGAAGATGGGGGTAGAGGATCATGAAGAGAATGAACAAGTGAAGTAAGCTCGCTAATCTGAGTAGTAAGTGCCTCATGAAAATCAGAAGTAGGAGCTACAGATCCAGAGGGAATAGAATTTGGCTTGGATGGAGAAACATCATTTGTAACCCGATGCACATAACCAGGCTTACCATATGTTTACAGCCCAGCAGCGGCCACATTTGGCAAGGCCTTGGAAGATCCAAACCTCCTAATAACAGTCTTGGCAGCAGAAGCATAAGTGACCATGACAATGACAACATCGAGTATAATGTGAATCACAAACACTACATTAAGGCAAATTAAAGGATCCCAAAATCATATTGGTTACATATACATATTAGTAAATATAGAGGCAAATCAAAGGATCCCACTATTTCTATTCACACACCAATTTCAGATTCATTGCAACAATTCTGCAGCTACTAGAGAGAAAGGGAGAGAGGAGAGGGAAAATATACATGCATATATATACATATTGAGAGAGAGAGAGAGGGAGGGAAATGGCGGAAAGAGGTTTATGATTGAGGTGTAGCCGGCAAAGGAGGCCAGGGATGGGAGGCCTTCGATTGACTTGTGTATCACAATGTATTTGCAAATGATGGATTTCATCTGTGATTGAAGGCATGGATGGCTGTTGGGATATTTTCCGGTGAGATTGGACATCTCCGCCACCGCCGCTGTCCAGACCTTTATTCCGCTCTCATCTCTGTCCTCTTTGCCATCCTCTGCTTTGCGCATCTTCTGGGTAAGCTGCGCGAGGGTTGGAGAAGGAGGGTGTGCTAATATGTGATACGTTACATGGTAAGATTAAAATCGGTATTGATAAATGATGGCTGTAATTTTGTGTGGTGCAAAAAATTGATAATTATATTAATTTCAAATATTAAATAAGATAATGCCACGTGTATTGGAAAAAAAAATTCCATTAGTTTCTTTAGACGGAGACAAACGGCTGGCTAAGATTGGGATCAAATAAAAAAATCAGGGTTTGATTTATTTCCAAGGTCAACCCATTTTTTTTTTTAAATTTTCCCAAATAATTTTTAAGCTGATGTAGATGGATTTTCGATTAATATTACAAGGGACTGTCAATTTTCTCTCTCTGAATTAGGTTTCTCTTTCTGACTTGCATACTGATCTTTGGTTCAGTTCTATGTGATGCCACATAAAAGAGATGCCTCACAGCTGTTAAAATTTAATATTTGCTAAGCGAAAACCTTCTTGGTACTGGAACATGGCCCCCTGGGTTTCAAAGAACATTCTCATATTATTTCTGGATGGATCTTTTTTCTCTATCTGGTGACAGATGTGCAAATGAGAAATTTTTCACTCTTATTTCCTCTATTAATATGCTTGATTTTTATTAATTGATACATATTAGAAGTGTTCATCATGCAGTTCACTGCAAGGAATTGGTATAACTGGTGAGATACCAAAAGATTTCAGAAATTTAACAAGCTTGACTATGTTGGATCTGGATAATAATCATTTAACTGGTTCTCTTGGCAATCTCAAGAATCTTCAATTCTTGTATGTGATACTTTCTGCATTAAATTCAAGGTTTTAAAAAGCGGCCGCAACCGTTACGTAACGCCGTTACGTAACGGTTTTGGCGGTTACCGCCACCCGTTACGGCCGCTTTTGCAGTGTGATTGAGATTCACAGGTGTGTCGGCCGTAGCGGCTGCTGTAGCGGTCGTAACGGCTTGTTACGCACCGTTACGTAACGGTTCCAAACTGTTTCTTTCGAAAAAATACACAAAAAAAAGCTGAAAATGGGGGAAGAGGGATAGAGAGAAGAGGGAAGATAAAGAGAGAAAATAGAGGAGCAAGAGATAGATAGAGAGAGAGAGAGAGAGAGAAGAGGGAAGATGAAGAACATGTTATTAATTTGTTGAAACTATTAGACCTATGCTATTCTATTTAGCTGCTATCACTACACCATTTTATTTGTGTGTGTCTACCTATATATTGTTTGAAAATAATAATAATAATAAGTGTGGTCAGTATCTATTTGGCTTGGTTAAAATATGTATATATATATATATATTTAAATTCTTATTTATTCTCTTACTTTTGTCATTATTTATCTTATATATAATAGCTAGTGATTAATTTTTTATAAAATATAAAGTCATTAATTATTAAAATAAAATGTAAAAAACTCAGTTTATAGTAGGGGTGTACACGGTCCGGATTGGTTCGGTTATGAGAAAATCCAAGAACGGTTCTGTGATTTTGAGAACCAGACCAGACCGTTACACTTGTAAAACCAGACCAGAACCAAACCGAAAAAACGGTTCGGTTTCGGTTTGGTTTGCGGTTCCAAAAATTTCTATTTACAAGAATAAATTGTTAATATTAGCAAAATAATTACTCAAACTAATTACATTTAACTCATGATAAAAACTAATAATATTAAAGCATTACTTAATACTACATATCTATACTATCATAATATCATTAAAATTATAAAAAACCAATTAATAAAAATAAAACTTGATATTATATATATATATCTTTTAAAATTCGACTCGGTTCGGTTCGAACCACGGTTTTTTCATAAAATCCATTAACCGAACCGTTTTTACGGTTCTCATATTTCTTAATCCGAAACCGAACCAATTTTTAATAGAACCGAACCAAACCGTATGATTCAGTATGGTTCGGTCCAGATTACCGGTTTGAACGGATTTTTGAACAGCCCTAGTTTATAGTGATTTAAAAATATGAAATATATTGGATCATACCTGAAAATTTACAAAAATTGATCAATATTTATTTTTAACCCAATAAATATGATCATGGAAAAAAAATATGCGCATCGGTAAGTTTTTTTCAAATTGTGCAAAAAATAAAAAAATTCACGGTTCCAGTTACCGCAACCGTTGCACTACGGCCTTTACACCCCGCAACCGCAATTGCGTCACCGCCACCGTTGCGGCGACCGCAACCGCTTTTCAGAACCTTGATTAAATTAGTATTTTTGAAATGTTACATTTTTTGTGAACTCTTGTTAATTGTTTTAGAAAGTTTATCATTAGAAGTGCATTTACTTAGCATAAAATTCGCTGAGCAAAAACCTTCTTGGTACTGGACTAGTACTGGAACATGGCCCCCTGGGTTTCAAAGAATATTCTCGTATTATTTCTGGATGAATCTTTTTTCTCTATCTAGTGACAGGTGTGCAAATGAGAAATTTATCACTCTTATTTTTTCTATTAATATGCTTGATTTTTATTAATTGATACATATTAGAAGTGTTCATCATTCAGTTCACTGCAAGGAAATGATATAACTGGTGTGATACCAAAAGAGTTCGGAAATTTAACAAGCTTGACTATGTTGGAGCTGGATAATAACCGTTTAACTGGTGAAATACCATCTTCTCTTGGCAATCTCAAGAATCTTCAATTCTTGTATGTGATACTTTCTGCATTACATTAGTATTTCTGTAACATTTTTTTATAAGCTCTTGTTAATTGTTTTAGAAAGTTTATCATTAGAAGTGCATTCACTTGATTATGCTAACAGGATTTTGAATCAAAACAATCTCACGGGGCCTATCCCTGACTCACTCTCAGGTCTTCCAAGGTTGATTAATCTGTAAGTGTTAAATCTTATATGATTCACTTCTGATTTCCCTGTAGATTTATGATTGAATTGAGTTAAATTGCTTCTACAGTTAGAGTTTTGTAGATTATCAGTTTGTATAGTAAACAAATTTTGCCAGCTTCCGATGCCATAATTGAAACTTCCTTTTGCAGTCAGCTTGCTTCAAATGGTCTTAGTGGTCAAATACCTGAGCATTTATTCCAAGTTCCAAAATACAAGTATGAACAGCATTTTCCCCCCAATAATATTAGCTCCTAATTCAGACAGTCAGCAGTAAATTTCTCATTAATTTGATAATTTTCTGCTTCATTAGTCTCTCTCACTCTCTTGTTAATCAGCATTGAAATTGATTTGACTTCTGTTAATCATTTCAGTTTTACAGGAAATCATTTGAATTGTGGCATGAATTTCACCCACCCTTGTGCATCTGATAGTGGCGGTAGTAGAATTAATCTTTTCACACAACTCGATCTTATGATATTGTAAAAATGTGCAGCTGTTCAATTCTTCCTTTCTTGGGAAAGCTTATTTTTTGACATGGCTGTGTTGGCAGGTTCTTCTCATAAACCAAAGATTGGAACTAAAGTTGCAATTGTTGGTGGAGTTACAGGTTCTCTTATTTTTGGAGGCCTGGTGTTACTTCTGTGGAAGGGCAGGTGTAAGGGATACCGGCGTGATGTCTTTGTAGATGTTGCAGGTTTGTGTTGCTTGGTAGTTCAGGGGCAGATTGATTGCCATTGCTACTGGATATTTGACTGGCTGGATTCTATAAGTTCATATCTGATAAAATATGAATCTATCATTTAACCCTATTCAATCATTGCATCAGATGGTACTTAATGCTGAATGGACTGGTTTCTATAAAATCCAGTTTGCCCTGCTCTCTGCACAAGCTTAACCTTTTCTTTTGGTTTCGTGTTGTATACACACTTTACTTTAGGAACCTGACCAAGAAATTAACCCTTAATTTCATAAAAGTTATGATATATTGAGTTCAATGTTTTAGAAACCGTACCAGACCAAACATATCGTTTCGGAAGAAATATGCCAGTAAATTCCAGCAGAAAACATGCATTCTGCTAAATTTGCTGGTACAAATATATTATTCAGCTATATATATACAGTTATTTATCTATCTATATATTCATACCAAGTAATGGAGATTTGAATATTCAGTAGCTTTGCTTCTCAGTTGCACGGTGTATCACAGGATCGTTTGAAGTCATTGGCAAGTCTGGACTCTGAACTTCTTTTACTGAGATATGAAAGTGAAGAAAAAACATGACAGCCTAGTTTAAAAGTTACTCTTTGTGCCTTGCAGCTGTTTGCCTGGCCCACCCACCCATTAGTTTTCTGAGGCTTGTTTGGGTTTGTTAGACGTAAACACACATGTTATGTATGTAGCCCCTTTAGGTGCTGGACACACTTGTATTAAATATATATATATATATATATAAAAATCATGTTCATTATCATAATAGATTCATTAAAATTTATAAAAATTTAAATGAATTACATATTATTTAAAGCGATAAATGCAAAACAGTATCTGAAAACTAACTAGTGCCGGTACATACCATACCGATGATACAAACGGCACCATACTCGTTGCGGTATTCACAATATTGATAAGGTCATCTGATTATTTTGACTGCCTTTCTTCCTGTTGTCAACCCTAGATTAATTGATGACAACATTCTGGGACAGGTATTTGTGGCAGGAGAGGGAACCTGCCACCAAATTTGGTCAATGCGGTTTAGCAGTTTTAACCTGCCACCGATCTTGGTCAATGCTGGTCAGCAGTTAGCAAATCATGCCCTGTAAGTTGCGCAGTTTAAACCAGAACAACAGAGCAATAGCCCCTGTTCTTTGTTGGGAAATGGTTTCGCCAGCAGTGCCCGGGGATTCCAAGGAATTCGACAAACATAGTTTGCAATTTGATAGGGATGTTTACTATTATTTTAAAAAACTTGTGGAGGCTGATCAGATTTGTTCAGGAAACAAAATATTTTTAATTAGTATTAAAACTGATTGTAAACTGACTTTCAAAATAATATTACCAGCTACAAATATGAAATTTGAAGTTTAGTTGGTTTAGTTTAATAGTTTGTTACGGCCTTTACATGGTTAATTATAATTTAGGTAGTTCACTGTGTGTTTTGACATATTTTTTTCTTATGTGTATTACTATTAGCATCTAGCTCTCTCATGAATTTTAACACTTGTTTGTTAGATATATAATTTAGATGCGACTTGGGTTCCTTTGTGTATTTGCTGATGGATTATTTTTGTTGCATGCACAGGTGAAGTTGACAGAAAAATTGCATTTGGCCAATTAAAAAGATTTTCTTGGAGGGAATTACAGCTAGCTACGGACAACTTTAGTGAGAAAAATGTCCTCGGACAGGGGGGCTTTGGAAAGGTTTATAAAGGGGTGCTTTCAGACAATTCAAAAGTTGCTGTGAAACGATTGATTGATTATGAGAGTCCTGGTGGAGATGCAGCATTTCAGCGTGAAGTTGAGATGATTAGTGTAGCTGTTCACAAGAATCTTTTACGCTTGATTGGGTTCTGCACAACACCAACAGAACGCCTTTTGGTGTATCCCTTCATGCAGAACTTAAGTGTTGCCTATCGTTTACGAGGTGGTAGTTCTTTAATATATTTATCTAAATAAGAGATGCTAATAGATATCCTTTAGCTTTTCTTTTTTCTCTTTTGGGTGTAATATAGGTTTATTCTTTTATTAATTTTTTTGAGTACCATGTGTATCTGCATTTTAGGTATATATATGCATATACATATATATATATATTTAGATAAAGGATCCATATGTAATGTTAGTAATAACCAGTAATTGTTATGCAACACAAGAACAAGAGAGATAAAATAGAAAAAACAAGCAGTGAATAGAGGTAGAACCATAGACTAAGGGGATTTGGTTGCCTCCCACAAAATCATTCTGAGCATTAGAGTGATGCCATTCAAAACCCTGTTCCATCTTATAGCCCCTTCGCCGGCAATTTGTAGATAAACCTCAACAATTTGATAGGCAAAAAGTTCCTCAACCCCCCAGTGGTGCAAAGCATAAGAAGCTCAAGGAAGAATAAATTGAAAGAAGTGATGATGTTTGAAAATTGACATGATTTTAAAGAAAAAACCAATAGAAACCACACATTTTCATGTTTCTAGCATTATTAGTCTCATTTTATGATTATTTTCATGTTTTCTAGGACTTTTAGGTCAAGGATATTTTGGTAATATTTATATTTGCTGACATGAATTGTAGGGGGCGCTCATGGGTTGTCTTGTGGGTCCAGTTATTTAATTGATTTTTATATATGTTTCTTATTTGGTCCGAAATAGGTTTTGGAAGTCAATATATTAATAGTTCCTATTTTGAATCCTAGTTGGTTAAGGAAGTCTTAAAAGTCTATATAAAAGTCCTCTAATACTTTTAATTCAATAGAGTTGATATTTTAGAGAATTTCAAGAGTTTTGAAGTTTTCTTATGGATTGTGTGATGCACTCAAACCCTAGGTGCGATGCCTAAGGGATCCTAAGAGTGATTCTTAGACCTATCTTCTTCTTCTTTGCGCACATATCTAGTTACTATTCTTGGGTTCCCATTCATAGCCCTCTAAAAGTACACTTTTCAACCTCAAAATCCTACTCAATCACCCCCAAATTAACCCTAATCCATTCCCCTACCTATTAGCCTTCAATTTAACTATTAAAACCCTAAATTACTCACTGTCTAGGCCACCAAATGACCTTTATTTTCAAAATCTAACACTGTCCAACATCACTTGAGCCTCACCTTTCTTAGGAATCAAGGCTATAAACGTAGCATTGAGATTCCTTTCAAAGGACCCAAACTCATGGAAGGGCCGTAACATTATCAGAGACATCCCATCCTCTCTTAGCACCTCCCAACCTTCCTAAGAAAAGACTTCCAACCATATCTTATCTTCTCTTGAAACTAGGGTTGTAATCGGTTCAGTACGGTCGGTATTTAGGTAAAAAAATTTACTGAATCGATAATGTCGGTTTTATTATTTTGAACACTGATGCAGACCGCTTCTCCCATCAAACCGCATATAAACGAACCAATTGAAACGGTTTGGTTCGATGTGATTTAATCGGTTTAGGACCTTTCAAACTTGAGCTATTTTTAAATATAATTACTAATCCATATAAAAACATTAAATTAATTATTTGTCCACCTTTTCAAACATATCCAATCTAGCCATTTAATAAATACTTTTCAATTCCTAAATTAACAAAAAAAAAATAAAAAAATACTAAAATTTCAAGAATAATGAGTTAGAGTTAAGATTATATATAATAAGAGTTTACAAATTTAGAATATAAAGATGATAAGGTTAATTAATTAAGGTTAATAATTTATTATACTTATTAATACCATTATATTATTAGATTATATATATATATATATATATTATAAATACAATATATGTTCAAGCGGTCAGTTTTAGTTTAGTTCGGTACACAAGGTGTTTGAACAGATACTAAACCGAAAACCGAAAAAAATAAAATTTAAAAACTTAGTTTAGTTCGGTACACAAGGTGTTTGAACAGATATTGAACCGAAAACCGAAAAAAATAAAATTTAAAAACCGCACAGATTAATTCTTATTAAAAAACAAACCAAATATCGCCGTTTTGGCGGTTCAATCAGTTTGGTTGATTTGTTCGATTTTTCTTACATCCCTAACTGAAACAGTAGAGAAGCTCAAGCCATACAATCTAGACCTTCTATTGGAGGACTCTTTGTAGAGATTCTCATGAGAGCTGATTACACTCTTACAAATGTCTCTTTTGAGGCCATTTTAGCCAGAAAAGGTGTGTTGACTGACAAACTGAGCAGAATTTAGTGACCACTGTAAATAAAATAAATGCTGTAAATTTTCCCTGAAGCCGAAAGCGGCTAGAACAAGATCGACTGAGTACCAGTACTGAGAATTTTGTATCATCGTCACCATCTTTATTGTGTAAGTTTACGAGTCTTTTGAACTAACACCCCTGCTTTCATTTCTGGAAAAGTAGAAATGTTACATAATCATACAATTGAACTTGGGAAATATATAAATTTTAATGGCCCTTATTCTTCTGTGAGTATCATTTAACTTTTTGTGGATTTTCTGATGATGTTTGACTAGTTTTAAACACTGAATGCAGAGATTAAACCTGGGGATCCTGTTTTAGATTGGCCTACAAGAAAACGAGTGGCTTTAGGCACAGCTCGTGGGCTAGAGTACCTTCATGAACATTGTAATCCCAAAATAATCCATCGGGATGTTAAGGCTGCTAATGTGTTACTAGATGAAGATTTTGAAGCAGTTGTTGGTGACTTTGGCCTGGCAAAGTTAGTGGATGTGAGAAGGACTAATGTGACAACTCAAGTTCGTGGAACAATGGGTCACATAGCACCCGAGTACTTGTCCACTGGGAAGTCATCAGAAAGGACAGATGTTTTTGGTTATGGGATAATGCTTTTGGAGCTTGTGACAGGTCAAAGGGCAATAGACTTCTCACGCCTGGAAGAAGAAGATGATGTTTTATTGCTTGACCATGTAAGATAACCTTCATATGTTACTATCTTCGTATGTGTTCCTTCTATGTCTGTCTATGCTCGAGTTGTACCCTGCCATTTGGGTTCCTTTGTTATCTCAGAGAGCTGAGCCCATTATAAATCTTGTTCATTGAAACATAAATCTTTCTATGTTATCTCAGACATCTATATAAAAGCATCTACTTTTATTAGCATCTCCCTTGCCACTGGTTATACAGGATGTTGCTTTCTGGTACTTGCGTGCTTCAACATTGGCAATGAACTGCCACAATAGGGAGCCTTTTTCCTTTATCTGGAGAGACCACATGGAAGGAAATAGTTTTTCATTTTGTTTTCATATTGTTCGTAACATGTTTGTATATTTTCCCTCAACATTTGGATACTCTAAAAGTTTAAACATGATGAGATGCAGTGCTTGCTGATCCCTTAAAAACTGCTCTGGTACTCATTTAATTCAACCGGACAGTCATTTGTTTCTGATGCTCTGGAAAAACTGGACTTTTGGGATATTGGATTTCCATGTAGTTTTTGAATACCATTATTCTTTACTTCCTTGGTTATCCGGCCTCTTTGCTTTTTACTATAATTTGTTTATTTTTGTTTGAAGGTTAAGAAACTGGAAAGGGAGAACAGACTGGATGCCATCGTAGATCAGAACCTGACTGAGAACTACAACATCCTAGAAGTAGAGATGATGATCAAGGTTGCTTTACTCTGCACACAAGGATCACCTGAGGACCGTCCTGCAATGTCAGATGTGGTTCGGATGCTGGAAGGAGAGGGATTGGCTGAAAGGTGGGAAGAATGGCAGCATGTAGAAGTTAATCGTAGACAAGAGTACGAGAGACTACACAGAAGATTTGATTGGGGAGAGGATTCAACTTACAATCAAGATGCTATTGAGTTGTCTGGTGGAAGATGACATGATACACAATTTTGAACCAGTGAAGTATATAATTTCTTTGTGATTCTAGTATTCCCTTTGTACGACAAGCATTTCTCTTTGCTAATATGTAACAACATTGCTGGTTCCAATTTATGGTTTTAGAATTGAGTTTTTTATTTTTTTGGGTCTATGGTTGGGGGATTGTATGAAGATGAAAGAATTATTTGTATTGCTTTTGCCTAAGCACACAGAAGGCCTAGATTTGACATAATACTTAAACCTCATGTATTATTCATTTGAATTAAAAAGTGTTAGCAATTAATAATTAATTTTTGTTCTGAAAAAAATTAATTCATTTGTCGATCAAAAAAAATAAATTATACAATTAAATACTCATCTTCTTTTTCACCTCTGTCGAGTAACAAAATTGAATATTTGATTGTATGATTAAAATTTTGAAATAATTTTTCTGCCCATCAAATTATATTTCAATGGTTATAATGGCTTCCAATGTAAACTCTGGCCGATCCAGAGTATATGGTCAATGGTTGAACTGAGTCGCAGCCCGGACTTGAAAAATTATTGGTTGGTTTAAGGGTATCATGTGGTTATGCCTTCTAATTACAATTCCCTATATTTCTCATATTCTCTATTATTTAATATAAATTCGTAAGTCTCATCTTTTTCATCAATCACAATACTATTGAAGTACCACGTGACGGTGTCCCACCAATAACTTCTCCCAAGACTCAAATAGCATAAAACTAAGCGGCTAGCCAAGTTATCAAGATCAAGGGTCCCACATGGCTGTATAACACCAGCCTTGTTTGGAAAGGATTATTTGTGCTAAAATTTATATCTATATATTGTACAAGTGAAAATGAGTTTTTAGTGAGGAGCCTTATAAGAGTGCTAAACCATCAAACTAAATTTTATAATTTTTGATTTTTGAATAATAAAAACATTCAATTGGTTAAACTCTCCTTTAATCATAGCAATAAAACTCTAATTATTTCGTAAATTACGATTTTTAAAAGGATAGTATATTCAACTATTTCAAAAGTTAAATTTGTATGCCACTATATATAGATGTAATTCACTGAAATCTAATTATATTTTATTTTTAAAAAAGTTTATTGGTTAACACTAATTTAACCATAATAATTAAACTCAAATTATTCCATAAATCATGACTTCTAAAAGGAAAGTACACTCAATTATTTCAAAATTTAAATGTGTGCCATTAATATGGAAACAATTTATTAAAATCTAATTATAATAATAAAAAAAAACTCTAATTATTCCATAATTTATTATTTTTAAAAATATATATATTTTTTCATTTCAAGATTTAAAATTATGTGTTATTAAATATGATAAACGATTCAATAGAATTTAAAATTTATAAAAACCTTTTAAATGTTCACATTATCTGTACTACAACTAATATAGAAATTATTTTCAAAATTTATAATAATGCTGTAGACCGCCCGAACTCGCTCTACGCGCCCCCTTTTCGGAGAGGGGGCGAATTGTAGTTCTAACTACTACAGTTCGGACTCTTGTCACGGTTCTGAATCTAATGTCACTAAGTGCAATGTAAGACTGATAAATCACCAAAGAGTCCAAATCCGGCAAATCGTTTTGAAAAATCGATTTTAATAAAGAAGTGCCAAACATGGACTGCTTTGCCAGATTTCAGAGTCGCCATCTAAATATTTTGCTTTGAAAAATTTAGGAAACCCTGACTCGTGCCTAAGGCCACATGTCCCTCATCACCAAAGTTGCCTCGGCTCGGGAACTTGGGTACGAGGGGGGAAGGTCATGAAATGAGCACCCTCGCTCGCCCGATCAAAGGATCGGCCTCTACTAAACATGATATGTTGTTTTGAAAACACATGTGTCCTTATTCTAATTATTAATCTAGAATTACTATGTGATGCGCACAGCATACAAGTATAGACTAAATCACTCAATTTGGAACAAAACATCTCATGTTTGTTTTAGAAAATGGTTTGAAAGTGCTACTCGCAAGTAGGCTAAAGCGCAGATTTGCCACCCTCAAGTGGGCTTAGAAAAACATGATTTTGCCACTTCAAGTGGGCTTAAAACGCACATTTTGATGAAGGTTCCAATTCAAGCAATGAAGCCTTCATCCACAAGCATTCAAGTAGTTATAGCAGTTAAGCACATAGCCTCATGGCAAGCATGCTAAACATGGCAACACTTACACGCATGCAAGGATGCTAAAGCATAAACACTCACAGTGTACTCCGAGCCAAAACAGAAGCTAGTTAGTAATCAATGCATGATCGTAACTATGTCAACAATGCCTAATGCAACACATGCAAAAATGCAACTAAAATAGGCTCAGCTAGCTAAGACAACATATGAATGCAACACTTGATAACATGTTGTTAAACACGTATTCAAGTAAAGTATATTGAAATACAATGCAGTTTGAATGATGCGCCGAGCCCGGTGCATGCAATACGAATGAATGATGCACGCATGCAAAGCATAAGTATGCTAATTGAAATATGCCCTAAAACTAACTATCAAAAGTTGGTAAATAAAAGAGAGAAAGACGTGAGGTTGTAAGACATGCACACACTCACGCACACTTATTACAACATTTGCCCTCTCGACGGAGGGTTTGAATGGAAGCTACGCTATTCTAAGCTAAGCTACTTAACTAATCTAATAATCTAATTAGACTAATTATTACAAACCAAAATTAATTAACTATTCCTAGCTAACTAATTATTACAAAACAAATCGATTAATTAAGCACATTAACTAATTAAGTACAAAATCGACGAATTAGCTAACCAAGTAAAGCAGCTAAAACAGTTAAAAGAGGTCCTCGGGGCGAGAGATGCTGCATGCTCGATTGCCTTGCTCGGAAATCCATTGCTATGCCCAGAATTGCCTCTGTTTGCATTTGATTTGATCTCTGAAAAGTGCACAATCTCCAGAATGCTTTTTCTCCAACATGGGGACCTCCTGGTGGGTTGCCGACCAGAAAAGGAGGCTGTAGACCAAAAAAACTGGTTGTAGACCAGAAAAAGTGGTCGGTCGACCACCCTTACTAGTCGGCCGACCAGAAAATTTGCCAAGCTCCAGTTTTTCTCCAACAGAGAACAACAAGGGGCACAGCAGTGTATTTGCAAGATATGTGTGCATAACCACCCTCCCTATCATTTCTCAAGCTCAAGGGAGTGCGGTACTCGACTCTCGGGCCACCAACTGAACATCGCAATGCGCGATAGCCAGAAGCCAAGTTTGCACAAGTCAATGTCGATGAATGCACAAATAACACATAAGGGCCTCCACATCTATCATGCTTGATCAAGAGGGTCGACGACCAAGAAATGCTACACGTTTCATCACTTTGAGTATGAAACGTGCGACATTCCTTGTGTTTGGATTAACGTTCGATCCAAACACAATGCAACACATACAATATACCTATCTATCAATGCTAATGTGACATGCACAAGGTTCTATCATGTGAACAATGCATGCAAGACATGTTCGAAGGCCAAGAATATCAAAGCTAGTAAAGAGCATCTCACAAGAGGCATGCAATACCAAGTTTAAATGGCTAAACCAACTATGGACAGACCTAAACCGTGCCAAAACAGTGGCCTAAATGCACTGAGATGATAGCATGAAAGACAAGATAATGATGTTCATGCATTAACCCATGAACAAAGCATAGAAGCACAACTCTCAAACATAATGAAGAAGTGACAAATGTGAGAGTGTAGCTACACTATATGCACTGAAATCATGTGTGAAATGATACCAAATCATCCAAACAACATAAGCATAGCATAACATCCTAAGGACCTTGAATCATTAGGCTAGTCAAAGCTATTGCACTACAACCATGCATAACAAATCCCATATGACCCAAACAACTCAAAACAGAGTTGAGGCATGCTAAATCAAGGCCGAAAGCATGCTAAAACATAGACTCAAAAGGGAAGGAAAGCATGTTCATTCATTGGCTCACAAACAAGGCATAATGCATAACCCTCAAGGGCAATGAAAGAGTGATAAACATGGGAGTATAGCAAAGACATAAGCTCTGAAATTACATTCCGAATGATGCCATATTATGCACATATCACAAATAAGGCATGCTAAGAGGCTCAAAGCTCAAGACTAGCTAAGGTACTTGCACAATAGCCATATCAAGCAAGCCCCAAAGGGCCAAGATAACTCAAAACAGTCCCAAGGCAGGTCAAAATAATGCCAAAACATGCATGGAGTAGAGCTAACACATGTTAGAATGGGAGGCATAAAGCATGCCGCATGCAAGGCCAATGAGTGGGATCACACTACATATACCAAAACCAAGCATGAGGTGACTTCACCAACAAAAATCGGAGTTGTAACATGGTAAAATAACACCAAAAACATGCTGAGATGGTAGCCCAAAAGCTTAGGCAAGCATGCATACATATTGGCTCATAAGTGAAGCATAAGGCTCAACCCTCAAAAGGCATCGAAAGAGTGAAACATGTGAGAGTGTGTCTACACTACATGCACTAAAATCATGTGAGGGATGAGGCAAAAGCATGCAAACAACTCAAATAAAGCATACTAGAGACTTTGAAACTCAAAGCTAGTGAGGAAGATTGCACTATGACTATACAAAGCAAGGCATGCATGACCAAAATCACTTAAAACAGAGCTTAAGCGTGGCAAAACATAAGTAAAAACTTGCTGGAATGGAGCAAAAAACATGCTAAAATGGTGGTCCAAAGCATGATGCATGTTAAGGCTATGGGGAGGATTGCACTACAAGGGTATGAAGCATGCAAGAGGCAATCAAACCAACCCAAAACAGAGCTATATCATGTTAGAATAAGGCCTAAAACATGCTAAGATAGAGCCTTAAGAAGGTAGAAAAGCATGCCAAAGTGTTACAACACATGCAAACAAAGCACAAAAGGGGGGGACCACCCCCATCCATTTTAGGTCTCAAAACACACTTTCCACCACTGAAATTCCTTTGGAATTCAGTGGTGAAAAGGCCAAAAGAAGGTGATCTCAAAGGCCTAAAGAGATGGCACAAAGCAAGGCCAAACAAGCCACCAAGGGGGGAAACCACCCCTAACCCAAACAAAGCCTTAAACAAACATTTTAAGCACTTAAATACATAACTTTTTTCAATTGAAAGCTAAGCCAAAAGAATCATGCAAAGATGGCTAAGTAAGCAAATAAAACAAAGCTTTAAAGAGGGTAAAGACTCACCCTGGAAGAACAACTTCAAGACCAGCCACTTCTGAGGCAAAACCAAGCCAAAAACACTCAA